TTAACATTTTCAGTTAGGCATGTATTAGTAACTTGAGTTTGAAAATTGCTATGATCTGTTCAGTTGTTATCACTTAATAGGCAATCATCTTAATGTCTATCGCAACGCGGAAATTACTATCGCAATGCGAAATGAAAATCGCAACGAGAGAATCGCAATGCGAAATGAAAATCGCAACGCTAATTTCGCAATGCGAAATGAAAATCGCAACGAGGGAATCGCAATGCGAAATGAAAATCGCAACGCGAATTTAATTTCGCGTTGCTATTCTCTCGTTGCGATTTTCATTTCGCGTTGCGATTTTCATTTCGCATTGCGATAGTACTTTTTGCCTTCAACATAATGCAGATTGAAATCAACAAAATCAACCATTACATTTCAATCAATTAAACAAGCACAAATAAGAATTATGTTAACATCAATTAAACAAATCAACTTTTACAAATCACCTTTTACAAATCAATTAAACAATCAAAAAATAAGCAATAATTCTTAGAGAAAATAACACTTCTACTATTGAATCAACTTTTGCAGCCATACATCATTTTCACGCAGCTCACTTCTGAGATTAACCTGCATAAACCAAACATTTGCTCAAACAACACTTTCTACACATCTAAAACCTACAAACAACAAATTATTGAATTCTAGGTACTTAACCAAACATTTTCAAACCACAAGCCTATAAACATACCAATTGTTTATGGACATTTTTATAACGCGGATGCAGGTAGGCAGTGTCTCGTATATATCGATCTAGCCATATAATGTCGAAACCACAAGCCTACTGTAGCTCTATCTATATCGGTGGGAGATAGATACTTTATACTTCCTGTGATCAAACGGTCCAACGCCAACCATACGAGAGGACCACAATCCCCTCTGGGTCCTTTCGTTTGTTGTGGTGCGGTCTCGTCTCTGCTAACTGTAATATTGAGCTTCTTTGGCTTCTTGTTTCCAGAACGAGTCCAATAATTTATCGCATCCAAGAATTTAGCCAAATAAGAGCTCAATCCCTTAATAATATCTCTTAAATCAGCCAATGATATGTAATTTATCATGCTGTCATATACTATTGCCTTAAGGGATGGGATCTGAAGCTCGACGAGAAGCCAATGGTTACGTTCCAAAATAGGGATAAACACATGCAATCATAAGTAATAATTCATTCATTTGCGCACTTATTTATGAATACCTTTAAACTCAATCTAAAATAAACACTAACCTTATCGACCTCCCACCATGCAGGATAAAGTTTAGCTTGTCCATTGCCCAACGCAAATGATTCATCTCGTTGATTCTTCAAGTGAACGGCGTTAAAAGACGTCAGCATAATTGTATATCGTGTATTTCTTTTATTTTCCTTAAGTTTCTTAATTATTAGAAGACGTGACACCTACGCATCGATATGCTGTTTTACAAAAAAAGACATATATTAGTAACTTACATGAATTTACAAAAAAATAATCAAATTAAAATATAAGAAAAATATAAGACTTACCCCTCCATCGAAATAGCCATTGTCTTCGACCCCTAATAATACGCCCCACCAAGATCGATCAAGCAACAAATAGATATCATCGTTGAGCTTGCATATGTCAGTGAAACACCCCTGGCTTCGCTCATGTAGATAAAAATCAACTACGGTCTTAGCCCAAAGGGTGTTATCCAGAATTGTGTCCGGTAGTTGTTTCCTCTCCACTTCAGATACCGGTATGGTACTGGCCGGTAACTCATACGAGAGCCAACTTGAATCCATCATGTCCGGCACGTCAGAGGGTTTCTCAAGAATCCTACATATGACGCCATATGAATCGGGCTCTTGAATGGTGGAAGGGACCTCTTCAACGATGATAGTGGCCTCTTGAACGGTGGGAGGAGACTCTCGAGGAATGATAGGGGCCTCTTCAACGATAGGAGTGGACTCTTGAGGGATGACAGGCGAGTCGGGTTTCTTCTTGCGGTGTCTTCGCACTATAATTAAACAGATTCATATGGCGAAGAGGCCCATGGATACGAACCCAATAGTCCACTCCTATCGTCCACTTTTGCGGTCATCAAAGGCAGACGACAACTTAGTCCAGGTAGCTTTCCATATATACGAACCCCATGGAAACAGATTCCATGCATTTAGGTCCTCTACCAATAATATTAGCTCCTGAGGAATAGGTTGTCTGGCCTCTCTGCCTAAAAAGCCGGCATACAAAAGTAGTAGAAGGCATACTCGGACAACATCGACGTCATTCATCCGAGTAAAATCATCTTTCTTATTAAACAATTTCTTCATGTCGTCGATGTGTAAGTTCGGCTTCTCTATTGACTCATCAGGAAAAACCCTGGATAACCATGATGGGCGGGTGATATGACGAGTGTACCGGCCTACATCATCGTGTCCGAATCGTAGACCAGTGATTAAGCAGAACTCCTTCCGCCCAAAACAAGTATACGCCGGTGGAAAATGAAACCATATCTCTTCCTCACCACGTTGTATACTGTCGGGTAGATCGCTAATCATGGTCTGAAGCCACAAATGGGTCAAATTAGCATCTCCACCCGGATGCTGTACTCTCAGCCATGGCCCGAAGCAGGTTTCCTCAAACAATTTTCTTTGTGCAGGTGAAAGCTTCGAAGCAATTGTAGTGGCTAGGCTAACTTTATTCCTTAATGTCAATGAAGCCGAAAAAAATTTCTACAAAAACAATAAACATACCAAGTTAGATATACCAAAAACTACACTGTCAAGATATACCAAAAACAATAAACATAAATAGTAGTTTATTCTTGAAACTAAAATTTGCAACACTGTTTTGTCTTTTGGTTGAAATGAAAATCGCAACGAGATAATGAGAATCGCAACGCGGAAATGACTATCGCAACGAGAGAATCGCAACGCGAAATGACTATCGCAACGCGAAATGAAAATCGCAACGCGAAATGAAAATCGCAACGAGAGAATCACAACGCGAAATGAAAATCGCAATGCGATTTTGGTTTCGCGTTGCGATTCTCTCGTTGCGATAGTTATTTCCGCGTTGCGATTTTCATTCTCGAAACTATTCTTCTTCTGCATTACTTCAACCAAAAGACAAAACAAAGACAAATACTAACTTCACAGGCTAAACAGTTTAGCAGTATTGGCAGCAATCGAATGAATTTAATAAGAAATCTAAGTGAAATGGTTAATCTATTATTGAAATTACCAGTAAACTTATCATCAATCTCAATATGAAAAACCTAAAATAATGCAAAAATTTCAAAATAAAAATAAAACAAACTAACCCTCGGAGGTTGATTTTCCATTTCCGAATGATTGTGAGGGATTTTTTACTGTGAATGGTTGTGAGGGATTTCGCCGGCGATGGGGACGGAAATCTTCGGAGATGGGGACGAATTTCGCCGTAGAGAGTGAGAGATGGAGATGGGACTGAGTGTTGTGATTTTGGGTTTGAGGTTATGAGTTGCGATTACTGTGGACGGTTCAGTTTCCGATTTATTAAGAAAAAATTTGTGTTTGGAATTTGAAAAAAAAAATACACATTAATACGAATGGCGCTATGTAAATCGCGTTGCGAAAGTCAGAATCGCGTTGCGAAAGTCAGTATCTCGTTGCGATTTTGTATTATCGCATTGCGATAGTAAGTATCGCATTGCGATAGTCAGTATCGCATTGCGATTTTCCCAATTCGCGTTGCGATTTACTTATTCGCATTGCTAATTGGGAAAATCGCAACGATACTGTAGACCATCGCAGCGCGATTTTCAACTATCGCAACGCGAAATGCAACGCGAATTTGCGATAATGGAGATCGCGTTGCGAATTAGCGATCGCATTGCGATTTTGTTGGTCATTTTGGCAAATCCGAAAAAAGTTGGTTAAAATCGTATATTATATGGGATTTTTGGTCACTGAGGTTATTTTCTCTAAATAATTAATATAATTTATAATGTTTTTATTTCAATAAAATATACCAATATTAATATTTTTATTAATAAAATTACAAAAATAATATTTAATAATAAATAAATTATTTTAATATTTTAAAAAAATAATATTATGTTTTATGATAAATAATATTGTTTATTATATTTAATATTTGTAATAAATAATTTTAAAAAAAATCATCAACTAGTGGAAAAAAGATTTAAACAACATCTTCCAAACATCGTATAACGTTTTCCAGATATTTTTCAGAAAAATGTAATTTATTTTACGGAAAACATTTTTCGGAAAACGTTTTCCAGAAATGTAATTCATTTTCCAGAATTCAAATTTCAGTAATTCATTTTCCATAATTCAATTTCCAGAAAATCAATTATAGTCAAACAAACAAACCCTTATTCAATCGAAAATCTGAACATGCATTTTGTCGTATCAGAACATACAATTAACAACATTGAAGGACTAATTTGAGAAACATGTTAATTTTTTTTATTAATTTGAGGTAAATATAAGGTAATATATGTTCAAATATAACTCTCAACTATTTAATATTAAACGCTCACACCCTGACATTCATGGTGCTCGAACTCGGATCGCAACCCATTTGAGTTTCATCTTCTTGATTCACGTGACAAATTTTGAAGCACTGTGTTGATTTCGAGAAATAATGTCTATTCCACAATTACATAGATTAAGATAAAATCACTAAGACAATAGAATTTACCACGACATAAGAAACTTATTTTTATTCTTATAATTTATGATTGCTAATGCTTTATTTACAACATATATTTGTACTAACACTTTTAAAATTACTTACTCTAATCCATAAGATTTGAATAATAAATATCGATAATTTACTTTTTTTATATTTTATTTAAATCATAAAAAATAACTTTATATGTATAAGAAAATGAAACAAGAGGTTTGATCACAACTTCATTGATACTTTAATGAATCTTTTTTGACAATGAGTATAGTTAAGTAGTATATGGAAAATGTTTAGGACATACATATACAAACTACAAATACTAAAGGTGTTGACTTAAAAGAACCCATAGGGGAAAAGTCTAGAAGTTTTCCTTGTGGAAATCGAATTTTGTGCTGGTCTTCCTCGAAAACTCTTGAGCTAACCTTCTTAGCTCCCCTGTTAATCCAGGTGCACCGCAGTAAAATACTCCTGCAGGTAAAACACACACGCACACACCATCAGTTTCCGATGCAGCTCGATTTACGGACACATCAATTTCCGAGCACGAGTAGTATTTCATGGAAATGTTCGAATTTTAAAGACGATATACGTACCGACTCTCTTGTCAGCGTGGTTAACAGCAACGTGCTTGAAGACCTTGTGCCAATTCGGCCTGGCGAAATGGGTCTTCACCTGTGTTCCCGAGACGATATCGACGCCACTTTTGGCATGTTGGAGGGACTGAAGCATGGTGATCAAAGCCGACCTCGCATCCCCTTCTTCGTACACGCTCGTGCAGTAATTGTGGAGCTCAATCACCCTGTCCCGATCGTACTCGGCCACCTCGTTCATCACTCCCCTGAACCACTCGAACGAGCCTTGCTCCCTAGTGACCCAATAGAAGTAGGCTCGTCTCGTGGCAAACGGCTTCCTCTTGTTCTTGGCACCGATTGTTTCGATGCCTTGTTCGTTTTCGTTTTGTTGCTTGATGTTGTTGAGCACGTCTTTGACTATGCTGATTAGTGGGGTGGCACCAATGCCGAGTCCTACTAGGAGAAGAACGTCGTATTCTTTGTAGTCTTGGGCTGGTGCTCCATATGGACCATCAATCAAAAGCTTTGGCAACCTGTTTTATCGAAAATTGATCCAACTCGAAATTAATTCAAAAATATTAAAATCCGAATTCCTACTATCCATATTGACTCGATCTAAAATCAATCTAAATCATCCAATTGACATGTGTAATTGGATGTAAGAAAGTTACCTAGGCTTGTTTTCGCCTTTACCAATATCTGCTCTCAAGAGGCCACTTTGATCAACTGATGGAGGCTGACAAACCTACAAACGAGGACATGTTAAGGCAAAACTATTGAGAGATTTAAGCTTTGAAATATGACAGTTTGCTGTGCAATCTATAGTTTTTCTAAGGTATAATAACAAAAAAATTGTCCTTAACGTTTGATTTAATACTAACTTTGGTTTTTATTTTTTTTAACATTTTAACCCATGTAACATTTTTTCTTAGAAGGTATGATAACAAAAAAAAATTACCCCTAATTGGGTGAAAACCGTTAGTTGACTAACGGTCAATATTTGTTACTGACGTGAGAAGTCTTACATGTCCAAAGTGATGACATGACACATACAATATAATCGCTTTGAACACATAGGATTTGTCACGTGAGCAACAAACATTGATCATTAGTTAACTAAATGATTCCATCCACCTAGAAAATATTTTGTCCCGAAATGAAATGTCGGGAGTCAAAAGTGCTTTAAGGAAAAAAAATAAGAACCAAAGTGACCATTCAATGAAACTTTATGGATGAATTTAGGTAATTTGCCTTTTTAGAAAGAATGGTCACCTTTGAGAAAAGGGCCTTGAGTTGGGATGTCCAATCGCCTAAGGTTCTAATGTGGATACTTAAATAGTCATCTCCGGGAGCTGAAGTGATGGAGAAGGGATGCCTGAGAATCAGAACCATCAAAATGTATCATTTTTACTGACATTAAAACTTAGACATCAGGAAAATTACATTTACTGGTTACTGTTTTTTTACCATTGGAATGGGGAGACATCAGCACAGTTCACAAAGATGTATTGGCCACTGGTGTACTTGAATCCTTGAGGCTTACTCATATGCAGAGAGAGTACATTTCCAGGGTATACTGCAACCTGAATTACAAGCAGTAGTAAATATTAGTCCATTGTTCGACCTGTAAAAGTGATAAATTTGACGCTTAGAGGGGGTTAGATTGTTACCTTTAAAATCTTCACTGACTTATAGCCTGATCTAAATGCTCGAATTAGGCGTTCGCAAGCGTATAATAGCATTGGAACTGCTAGATACATCCATGTCTGCAACAGAAACACATTAATATCTCCTGGACTGAAAAATATTTAACAGTAGTTGGTTTGTGAGGGTTGAGATACTTACTGTCTTTTTGTACCATTTCTTGGAGAGGTAGAGATAGTATCCGTGAACAATGAAGAGAGCGTACACAATGATAAATAGATGATGTGAGTACCAAAAGGCATTGAATCCGGTGAGCTTCTTTATTGGTTTTGGGAGGTTTAGTCTGTTCCGGCGGAACCAAGGTTGAGCTAGTATGTAGGCTATGGCCATGAGCACCACCATGGTCACACCGGTCCACCCTTCGGTCCCTTTCACGAACCACCAGTAGTTGTTAGGCCGTTCTTCCCCGAAGAATTGCTCCATTGGCTCATACTCATCATCAGTGGCATGGAGAAGTCTAGGGAAGTCACATGTTAGATGAGCACCAGCATGCAAGCCAACTCCGATGGCAATCCCGAAAGCAACGACCTATAAGAAAGTTCATTCAAAACAAGTATGCCGATTAAGAGAATACGTCAGAGACACGGATATATTCGATATATTTCATCATATTCTGTGTACCACATACCTTATGAAAATTAATATTGTCATCAAATGGGACAACTACACCTAACTTTGTCTTGCTTCGAAGCCAAGTAATGGTATTTCTACACACTGGAAGAAGGATCAGGGCCATGTTGAACTTGGTTGTCTCAGCTGCACCTTTAGCTGTGGTTACACAATAGCCCATCACATCAAATACTGCCCTATGCTTGTATTGAATGAATTTCCAGGTGAACAAGCCAGCACAGATTGAGATCCAAAGAGCCAGCACCCATATTCTCTTCCAATTGTCCTCCAAAAAGTAGGCAAGACCCTTCCCCCATCTTTTAACAGGGTTCCTCTCTTTTGTTGGCACCAATTTTTCACTCAATAGCCTGCTTAAAACACGGCTTTCAGTCCCTAGGTTTGTTGATTGGCTTGGGGCTTGCAGTAGCAGTGTTTCCAAATTGTATATCTGAAAAAAGAAAACCCCAATACACTTTAAGTGATGTTTATCAGATCGAGTGATAAAGAATTCAACATTCATTAAGTAAAATTTCATGTCCATGTTTCGTAGATGAAAAAAATAGTGCTGTGAAAACTTCGTCCTTCCATTTTAGAGTTTGATATGATTAGCTTTAAAATAATCGAAATTCCAATGAACTACTTGATTGGCCTAAAGAAGGATGGGATAAAGTTGATTAAAATTAGTTTAATTTTGCTGACCTCAATGTACCCAAGGTTGTCTTTGTCCAGTTCTTCCATGATAAGGGCTGCATATTCCTCGGCACATTCTTGGATTTTTGACAGCTTGTTAGCACTAGCACTCAATGTAATGATCTACACAATAGTACATTAAAAACACATGTAAATATTTGTATGGATATATATAAAGCTTAATTAAGCAACTTTTGGATATGATAATAATATTCACACACCTCTGTCACCTCTTCTTCTGTGATCCTTCCATCAGCATTTTTGTCAACCCTGCATTAAAATTTTGCAAAAAGAAATAATCATTGTTTCACTATCCATGTGAACAGGATTTTTCTAACTGGTGATTTGATTCTCTAATTAGTGTCTAAATTAAGTTGATGGATTTGTTAATTTGTAATAATTGATCAACTTATAAGAGAGTTAATAATTAGTTTGAAGTCAACAAGCCGGATGACAAAGGAATTATTTCCACCTAACATTCGGCTTCACATGCAGATTGTCCATGAAATACGGGTTTATATGGTTAATTATTTGCTCGGGTATTAAATAGATTCTTAAATACTGATTATGAATTTATAATATAATATTGGGTAAATTACAAATTTCATCACTCAACTTTACTATCTTTCCTATTTTGCTCACTGAACTTTAAAAGTTTTCAATTTCCTCACTGAACTTAATACATTGAGTTTTTTTATCACTACAACGTTAAACAGTTAACGGCGTTAAAACGAAGTCGTTTTAAAAAAGTAAAATTTTCACCAAAACGACGTCGTTTTGCAACTATATAACAACACATTTATATCGTTGCTAGTGAGAAAACGACTTAGTGACAAAAAAAACCTAATGTATTAAGTTCAGTAAGAAAATTGAAAAGATCTAAAATATAGTGAGTGAAATAGGAAAGAGAATAAAGTTAAGTTGCCAAATTTATCATTTACCCTATAATATTTTATTGACAATTTGCTTCTTGTTTCTTGGCATAACTTGGTCAAGACCATCACCTAATGATTTGGAGAAATCTTATCCTTACTGTCCCACACAATGGACCTTACTTATGTGCTAGCAAGCTGTAAAAATCCCAAAGAAAATCAAGGGAAAAAAGCGTAATTAGCCTAGTTTTTAGTTAATTAAAATACACATACTCAAACTATGAACCTCATTTTAAATTATTCTTAAACTTTTAAACATTTCAATTTTATCCCTAAACTATGACTCTCATTTTAAATTGGTTCTATAACTTTTGAACATGACAAATTCATCCCCAAACTATGACCCTCTTTATAAATAGTCCCAAACTTTTGAACAATCCAATAACTTCCCCCAAAATCATTCAAAGTTTGGGGATGAATTTAGATTGTTCAAAGTTTGGGGAATAATATAGAATTAGGGTCATAGTTTGAGGATGAAATTAGAAAGTTAGCAAGTTTAAGGACTAATTTAGAATGAGAATTTTGCGGATGAAATTGGAATGTTTAAAAGTTTAAGGATTAATTTATAATAAGATCACAGTTTAGGGACGTGTAGTGCAATTAACTCATAGTATTTTTTAAATTAAAGGTGTATATATATATTGGCACTTGAACTTAATTTCAATATTCATTTTAGTACCTAAGCTTTTTTTTTGTCAAATTAGGCATCTCAACTTGCCCAATTTGAACCAAGAAGCAAAGTTCAAGTATGATTTGGACCAAAAAAAAGCTCAAGTACATCATAAGACAAAAAAAAAGCTTAGGTATCAAATTGAAACTTGAAGTCAAGTACATGTACCAAAAATGTATATGAGCACATTTCCTTAACCGGAATCAATTAGTTAGTTAAACCAAATCAAGTGCTTTAATGCTTACATATCAAAGAAGGTTTGCAGTCTGGCATCAAAGCTTTGATCAGCGATTTGTTCCCAAAATTCCCTTAGCTGAGCTTTGTTTATTGCTGATGATGTTATCCCTCTTCTACGAGCCAAGGCCTCGAACAGTTCGTCTGTAAACTCCTTTGATTCATTCATGCCTGCCATTATAAATCACCTATCAACAAGCATTTTCATGGCTGATAGCATTGAGAAACAATTGCATATATTTGAATATATATACCTATGCATTGGCCAAACAATGACTTGGGAAGTGAACCATTGACAGACAATTCATCGAACCGTCTTTCGATCTCGGACCACCCTTCGGTTCCGACGTTTTTGGTCATGAATTCCAGTCCCTTGAGGGCTCGAGCGGCGCCGCTCCTTTCGTGGACGTCATTCTCTTCAGTTCCTGAGAGACTTGCCTGATTTAAACGAAATCTGGGATCCGAATGAAGGCCTTTTCTCCAACTTGGTTGCTAGCATTGCCGTCTCGGGATCGCCTCCCTTGATGTTCTGTACGGAAACTGAATCTTCACGAATGTCGAGAGTGATCTCGACGTATTCGTCGCCGCCGTCCTTGAATCTCGCGCTCTTTTTGCTGCTCTTTTCGGGTTGTTGTTGTTCACCAGTATCGGACCGCTTAATGGACCGCTGTACCCGACTCGGCTGCTGCTCGTGCTCTCCGTATCGGACCATGACTCGTGTTTACTGTGTTGAATCTCCATTGTTGTTCTACTCTCTCTGCGATTGAAAAAGAAGAAGAAAAAACAGAGACTCAAATTTTGATATACGTAGAACCAATGATTAATTTACATGAAGGGCATGTTTGGATTCGAAAATGCTTGTCTGGGTGTTCTATAGAAACACGATTTATATACGTTTCTCGGGAAAGTAAACATCTATAAAGTTGATTTTTTTCTCGGGAAAGTAAACGGGAAAATCCTTACCAGACAACGATTTCAAAAATTGAAAGACGATTGATATATGAGAATCAAGAATGTTAGTGAGGGAATGAAATATGAGAAGTGAATATATAATGAGAAAGGTGGCTAATAAGAAGTCAAAGCTCCAACAAGGAACAAGGTGAAATCCAGGGGCGCAGTTGGGTTGTAATTTTTTTTTGGAGTTGTTAGGGTTCATATACTGTTTGTTGTAAATACTGTAAAGCTTGTTTCAAAACATTAACAGCCAACAACCCCATTTTTGAAAATGGAAAATCTGAGAAAATTTCATTCAAACATAATCAAAAGTAGCGATCAGGTCAGCCATTACTATATATATATATATAATATTGTGGTGGGATTGGAAAGGTGGTGGAGAAATGATCCGAAGTGAAAATGTTGGAAATTGCTGAATTGAAGATGAAAATTTACACGTGATCTTCTGGAAAAAAAAGGTTATTATCTATCTACTCTTATCTATTTTTTGTTCAGCTTCCACGAAAATGACAACGAGAAACAGTGATTGGCAACAAACTTAAACAATAAGGTAAAATACACTCCCAGTCACTTAATTATTAGTTAGGTTACAAAATATATATTTTCTTCTAAAAAGGTACAATTTAGTCAGTTAATTTAAATATTATTATGAACATGTCATTAGTTATTAAATATAAGATGGAATGGCACGAACCCCAATGACTTCGGTGATAAATAAATTATTATTATTTTTTGAGATCTTAGGTTCGAGCACCTGGAAAACTAGGGGTATGAACGCATCTTTAAATAAATATTACTTTATATTTATCCCAAATTAATCAATATATATATATATATATATAAAAGAGATATGACACGATATAATAACAATTTCATTCTCAAAACTTATATATTTTACTTATTTAGTTTTTACTCAAAATAATTCAATATATTTATCCTTTTATATTTTTTCTTATTAATTTATTATTTTTTTCATCTCCCATAAATGTTATATTAATTTTTTTGGTGCAATAACAGTTTAATAGTATCTTGTTGCTATTATATAATAGAACGTAGTTATCCAACTGCTACTTTAATCCAAAGAACTTGCTTGGTTTGATAAACTAAACTCAAATAACTCTATTAAATTTTATTAAACTAAACTCACTAGTTATTAAATCAAATTCAAATTTTATTTTAAACCAAACTCAAATAATTCTATTAAATTTACCTAAGAATGGTCAAATAACTCTATTAAATTTACCTATGAATGGTCAAATCCATCAAATTCATTTCCCCTAATGCGTTTGTGGCAACTCCATTACAAAAGGAGACAAAGACCGATAGGTTTCACTTAATCAATATTTATATATATCCATATAATTACACTACTTTAACAGTTAATAAAGGTTAGTGCTGAGATTAATCATTTAATCTGAGCCAAATGTCATGATGACGATGGAAACAAATATTGGACCGACAATTAGGGACTTCGTGTAAATTATTAAGTTACAATTTAAGCCGAATAATGTGAGATAAAGTAGGATGATTAAGGTTAATTAGTCATAGGATTATATTAATTAATTAAACTAATTAATGATATAACCCTCTAGACTCGACCTATGCATTACGAACTGATTTATCTAGCGAGATACAATAAAATTTTTCAAAACATTCGTCGATAATTTAAATCCATATTACAAATAACATCTTTAAAACATAGTAAACAACAATAAAATCCAAACGAGTAAAAATAAAATCTTAAGTAACTGAGTGAAATAAAATGTGTCATAATCCGTATCGCAACAAATCAAACATTAGTAACAAAAGCAGTTAAAGTTATAAAAATAAGTATTTCAAATAAAAAAATAAGTATTTCAAATAAAGGCACGTCACCGAAATTGAAGGCATTTCATAAGATAGAACATTACAACAAAATTTCTATATGTGACATGTTGATCCTCCAAGTGTCAAGTCAGGGGTGCCTATCAAAAAGTATCTGAAAAGGGAAAAGTTTGGAGAGTGAGGGAGTTCAGTATGTCTCAATAGTGCAAATAAAATGTTCTATTAATGTATTCAGAAAATGATTCGATAACGTAGCATAAGGTATTCAGTGAGATTTCATAGTTTAAAATTCATATCTACCCTCTTCCCTTGCACTGAAATGCAGTCCCCCAAAAACTGCATCTATAAGGACTTACCCTATACCCATTGGGGTGTAGGAGCCAACCTAAGGGAACACTTTGGGCCTTAAGGTCTTACCCTAGCCGAAGCATAGGAGCCCACCTGGGGTAGTGTCCTAGACCATAAGGTCTTACCCAATGCATGAAGTAGAGAAGTCATCATAAGGGAGTACCTTAGGGTTCATAAAGTCTTACCACTAGGCCCATTGGGCCTAAGAGCCCACCCAAGGGTTGCCTTAGGTCCATAAGGATTTACCAGCTTGATCGGAGCTGCACCTCATAGAATCCAGGTAACATCCCAGAAGTATCACAATAAAGTGGTGTATCAGTAAAGACAATAAAATTTAAATTCAGAAAATAATCATTTCTCAGTAAGCAAGTAACCAGAGAGCATGTATCAGTCAAACATATTTATAATCAGTAAAACATGAATCATAAATCAAGATTTAAAATCAAATAGTTCATTCACAAGTCAAAACAAGTAGAACAATCATATAAAAGTAATCATATAGCACAACTGGAACACACCTCGTAAAAATGGGGTCAGTCAGGGAGCCTACTGAGCATTTGCCTCGCCATGCTTTGCAATAGTGCTCAAACCTAATCTATAATAAAACCGAGTCACTATCGAAGTAACATTTTTAACCAATGAAATCATAAAGTTTACGGGTCATACGAGTAATCAGTGGCTCGTGGGGAGCTGGGTCGAGCTATCGAACGGTCAGAAGAGTCTTGTGTACTTTCAAATACCAATATCTTAGATAAGTCATTAACCTAAATTTATTTATTCTTAAATAAAATACTTAAGTACACAGACATGTTCGGGTCTGACGATCAATTTGGAGGTTTTTGGGTTCGAATTTGACAAAACGAATTTTGTATTCGGACTAAAGACGTTGAAAAACATAAAATATGACTTCTCAGAAAAATTGATTTTTTAGACAAAGTCAAATTTAATGCTGCTCGAAGTCAAAGTCAACGGTCAGATCAATGGCCAAGTCAACAGTCAGTCAAAGTCAACGAGACGACTCTATTCGAGTAAACTCAACCGGGTTGACTCAGCTACTTGACTCAGTGAGTTGACTTAGTTCGACCCAATTCTGTCTGACTAAACCGATTCCAGAAGACTCCTGGACCAAAAAAGGAGCCCCACGTGCACTTTCGAAGCGTGGTGGCACATGAGACGATGGAAAGGGTTGGGTCGGGCCAGTCGAGCACTCCGATTGTAACCTAGTCTTCAAACAACTCGAACCTATCTAAAAATAAGCAAAACCGAGAGAAAAATTAACTGGAAATTAAACTTGAGCTTACTCATGCCAACGACGAAGAAAACAGTGACAACGGTACGACCCAAGGGTTGGGTTTCGAGCGTAAGGGGTCGGTGAGACCAGCTACAATGGCAGTGAGGCGAGCGGTGACTAAATCAACAACAATCGCCGAAAATAGCGGTGCGATTTAATGTTTTTCATCTCGCATCCAAGCGTTGATTTTGCGACGAACAACATCATTACTCGGTGCAATGGTGTTCAGGTTTTGGTCGTCGATCGATGACAAGTTGAATGGAGGTGGTAGCGACGGTTGTAGAGGTTGAACGGAAGTGAATCAGGGTGGAGAGGGTGACGATTGCTAGGGATTGGGGTTGGGAATTTTTTGGTGTTATAATTTGAGTTTTAAACGTTAAAAATAATATTATACTAAAAATATCACAAATAGTGCCCTGGCCTAAACAACTAAGGCATGGGCGATCTTACTTAGGGACAGGGGTTTAAAACCCTCAGCCGCTTAATCCAATTTTTTTCTTTATCAGTAAAAAAATAGAAAATTTAGGGCTAAGTCCATGAAATTTCTACATATTTAAAACCGAGATGCAAGCTTCAAAAACTAACAATTTAATCCCTAAATTAACTAAATTAATTTTAAAATTTTCATTTTTATTTTAAAATGAGGTTGTGAAAATTCTCTCCTAGAAGAAATTTCATCCTCAAAATTTACCTAAAGCAGACAGATACAGGAATTGAGTCTTCATTGATTTCTCTGTCTCCCAGATAGCTTATGCATGACCATATTTACTCATCTAAACCTTTACCATCGGAATACGCTTGCTCCTCAACACTTTATTATCTCGATCCAAAATCTGAATAGGCTCATCATCATAGGATAAATATGGCCTCAACTCAATATCCTCTAACTAAATAATATGGCTAGGGTCTAATCGATAGAGCCTCAACATTGATACGTGAAAGACATCATGAATACGACTGAGTTGGGGAGACAACTCGAGCTGATATACAACAGGTCTTACTCTCTTCAGGATACAATATTGCCCAATAAATCTTTGACTCAATTTACATTTGCGCCCAAATCTCAACACTTTTTTCCATGGAGATACCTTCAAAAAGACATGATCTTCAGCCTCAACTCGATCTAAACAATAATAAAATCCAAACGAGTAAAGATAAAATCTTAAGTAATTGAGTGAAGTAAATGTGTCATAATCTGTATCACAACAAATCAAACATCATTAGCAAAATCAGTAAAAGTTATAAATTAAATATTTCAAATAAAGGCACGTCACCGAAATTGAAGGCATTTCGGAAGATAGAACATTACAACAAAATTTTTGTATGTGACAACTCAGGGGTGTTTATCCAAAAGTATTTGA